CTCTGCCGCTGCCCGGCTGTGTCCCGGGGGCGCCCACCGGCCCCGGCTTGTAGCGGGCACCCCCGATGCGCTGTAGACAAGGCCGGTGGGTTTTGAGGCACATTCGCTGCCTTTTTGGGAGTTGGAAGGTTGGTAGCGGCCGCGTTGCTTTCAGCTGTGCCGGCAGCCGCGCAGTGTGATGGGAAGGTGTGGGAGGCACCCCTGGGTGCAGCGGGGCAGCGCAGCGCCCTTACAGATAGGCCTTGCCGTACCACAGAATTACAGACTGGCAGAGGTTGGAAGGGACCTCGGGAGATCATCCAGTCCAACCCCCCTGCTAAAGCAGGCTCACCTAGAGCATGTTACACAGGACTTCATCCAAGCGGGCTTTGAATATCTCCAGAGAAGGAGACTCCACAACCTCCCTGGGCAGCCTGTTCCAGTGCTCCGTCACCTCAAAGTAAAGAAGTTCTTCCTCATATTCAGCTGAAACCTCTTATGTCTCAGTTTGTGCCCATTGCCCCTTGTCCTGTCGCTGGGCACCACTGACTGGACTCTTTCTAGGAGTTCCTCGTCTTTCTTGAACTGGGGAGCCCAGAGCTGGACACAGTACTCCAGGTGGGGTCTCACCAGGGCAGAGTAGAGGGGGAGGATAACCTCCCTCGACCTGCTGGCCACACTCCTTTTAATGCACCCCAGGATACCATTGGCCTTCTTGGCAACAAGGGCACACTGCTGGCTCATGGTGAGCTTGTCATCCACCAGGACTCCCAGGTCCTTCTCAGCAGAGCTGCTTTCTAGCAGGTCAGCCCCCAGCCTGTACTGGTGCATGGGGTTCAACCTTCCCAGATGCAGCTTATCAGACAGCTGTTCCTTGAAATACCAAACAAACCTACCTCCCCCCCAAACCAACAAAAAAAACCCCCAAACCCAAAAGAAACAACAACAAAACCCCAAACCCCCACACCAAAAACCTATGTTTTTTCTAAAAAAAAAAAAAAATCCTTACTGAAAGGACATAGTGTATAGGCTTTAGAGAAGGTTTGTATTCTGTAGTGATTCGTGAGCCTCAGGGAAATGCGATTTTAATTAATTTAAAATTAAAAGGGATAACTTGGAAAACGAATAAAAAATGAGTACAAATTTGCACTGTGAAATGTAGGTATGTTCTCTTACCTACCTTTAGATTTGTGCACGATAGAAACAGTCTAGTTGGTTTGGGTCCTGGAGCAAATACTCCAGGCAAAGGTGTGTTAGAACAAGCTTTGCTTCTTAGCTCGCTTTCAAACACCATGGTTCTCCAACCCTACAATAGCTTGCTGATGCCGAGCTGGAGTACACACTGAAATCAGCCAGGAAGTGGGGGTCCATTGGGAGGGTGTAGAGGGTGGTGAAATATCATAATAAAGCGCTGTCGCCTGTGATGCAAGCTTCGTGTAACTAAGCGAATACAGTGTAGTTACTGTTCGCCTTAAGAAATTGTAGGTGAAATGAGAAATAACTAGCATAGTTGTTGATGGGTCTTGCTTTACCTACACGCCTATGACAAGTCCAGTACTGCCAGGGCATATTCTGAGAGTTGTCCCTTTTAATGTCTTGATTGATGTCCTGGACAAGGTCATTGAACCTCTTTTCAGGTTTGCAGATGACACCTAAGATTGTGTTGTTGAAGACGTTCATAAGTCGTGTGCTCTGTTTGCTCATGCTAATGTATTTAATAATGCTTCTAACCTCGTAAGTCTCAATTTCAACCATCAAAAGGCACTTAATGACAGACTGTGAGAATTTACTTAGTGATACGTATTGTTACAGTTATTCAGGGTGTGGGCATACTGTGAAGGGGTAGTCTAGTTCAGCTCAAACAGTCACTGATAAAAGGGCGATCTTGCTCCAGTAGGCCTTCTGTAAGGTTCTGCTCTGATCTAGGGTGCTGTATGCTGTGCCAGATAGTACTAGTGAAAGAACTACTGGGTCAATGTGGTTAGCTTAACAAAAGATAAAGAAATCAAAAGGAATGAGTAGGAGATCCTTGTACTGTTCAGGATGGGCAGTGTCCTTTGCCCTCCTCTTACAAAACATTTTTCACTTATGCTTTGCTTTTTTCTTTCTTTTGGTTTGGTTTTTTTTTTTCATGTTTCTGTCTTTTCACTACATTTCTTAAGTTATACACAAAGGCAGTCTGTAGGTAGGTTTGGGTCTACCATAACTTCTTCTGCATTGTGGCTGAGAGTTAAAATACTGTTGATTTTCCAGATATGCTCTCTTTGCACAAGTAAAAAGTATTTTTAGGTGATGGAAGTATTGGTGCCAAGTACTTTTCTTGTTAAACAGATAAAGTTTAATATATTATTAAAGGAATATTTAATGTTTAATTATATTTCTTCAGACTGATTATATCCGGAGGGGGAGTGAGGATTGATGTTTTCATAGTTTAACTCTTCTGTGAGGCAGTTCTTTATCTTTCAGTTTGTGTTTTGTAATTTTGTACATTCTGGATACATTGTAGAGGTTGCAACATACCACATTGGGCATGAAAATTTTTCTTTTAATCTTGTATTGAAATGGAGATAATTATTTTTTTTTTTTTTTAAATATTGACTGTTATTAAGCCAGGTTGCCATGATCTTTGTAGAAGTGATCAGTTATTAAAACTTTTCCTGCTGCCTTTCAGGATTTATTTGGTGTGAGCATGGTTGTTCCTTTAATGAACCTTCATATCAAATCTCTAGGAGCAAGTCATACAGTTGCTGGAATAATAGGTGAGTGGCAGTACTTGACTAATTTACCAAAGAATACGATAATGTGAACTGAATTATGCCTTACTGCAAACTGGACATTGTAACATAATTCCTCCTTGCTAGTAGCATAATAAAAAATAAGGCCAATTTCCAAGTAAAACCGTAAGGGCAGCCACACTGCGTTAGACCCAAAGACCTGCCCAAACTTGCATACTGATAGTAGCCAAAAAAATGCTTTTCCAGCATCCAAGAATTCACAGCTCAGCAACTTTGGGAGCCAGAGGTGTTGCTTTTAGTTTTGTTGTTATTTGCAGGCTTTGCAAAGAGTACTTCTGCAGCCAGTTCTCCTGAGCTTTCCAAAGCCTGTGATTGCTCCCAGTCTGACTCAATTCCTTGCAGCTATCTTTTGGCAAAACATTTATTGTCTTTAAGGAGTGTTTACAAAGAAATTCTGAAGGTTTGAATTTTATCCTAAAAATGAAGTGGTAAGGTGAAGTTCTGTGATTCTAAAGTTCTTATTTGTATCTTATGGTACTGTTTATGGTTTGTAATGATACAAGTATGATATTCTTAATAGCTACGTGTGGTTGACATGGGCTCTGTTACTCAGTTTTTTTATTACCTTTTTTATTTTGGATAAAATTTAGCACTTTTAATGAAATAATTCTGGTGCTGCTCTGACTTGTCAGAGTATTATTTTAAGCAGCAATTAGTCAAAAATATGTTTTCAATAGTCTGCTTTTTTAACTTTAAAAGGAACTGAGTTTTGGAGTGTATAAATGAAAGATGCTGGTGGATATTTTCTCTCTGCTTCTCTTTGCTGCTTCTCTTCTGTTACTAACTGCTGCTAAACTCTTGGCCTCTAGAATGAAAGAGTAAGGTCTGTGGTTTCTTCAGGGCTTCTGTGGTGCCTTGTAACATGTTCAAGTGCCAAATGGAAAGTACTTAGTGTCTCCCAGTAATGAAATTCTCTCCTGATTCTGAAAAAGCAATTATAAATGCCAAAATCTGTTTTGTTTAATACACCACAGAAAGCAACATACTTCTTCATTACATAGTTGTGAGAGTTTTCAGCAGAAACTGTTTCCTTGGTTATGTGCTAAACTCCACCCTTGTTTTGCCTTGCTCCCTCTTCCTATTCTTCTCATAAGTTATTACCAGAGTTTCTCTCTTGTTTTCTTATTTAAAATTTTTGTACTGTTTTAATTTAAAAAAAAAAAATCGGTTTATTTTTTAACATTTGTATTTCACTTGTTTGTTTTAGGGTCTCTCTATGGTATACTGCAACTATTTTCCAGCACATTTGTGGTGAGTTCTAACGCTGCATTCCCAATTATGCTGGTATTTCTGTGGATTTTAGGGGGAAAAGGATGAGGTTAATAATAGCGTTTCTTGAAAATTTTAAAATGTTTATAGTGTTCATATAAGCATTTTTGGTTGGTGGATCCAGTTTTTAGTTTGTGTGGAAAATATTCAATTTCAAGGGGGTTATCAAGTTTTTCAGAACTAAACAGAATACAGTCCTCAGACAAAAACTGGAATCCAGATTTGGGCCCAGTCGTACATTACTGAGCACGTCTCGGTCACACAGGGTTCTTTTCAGTGTTGGTGCTGGTAAAGCAGTTGTCTTCAGTGCAGTAGCCTGTCCAAAAAGTCAGCTCTTCATAAGCCTGTTACCCAGAGTTTGCTTTGCCTGCTCAGTGAGTGGGGCCCTGTAACTTGCTGTATGGCTTAAATTCATGCATTATACCTCTGTGCTTTGGTTGGTTTTGTTTTCTATTAGCTTTTGATTTTTTTACATCCTAATCCAAGCAAGAGCGCAAAGACTAAACATCAAGGCCAAACCTCTCAAATGTATGCTTTACCTATCAATACTTTAGATACTTGTATTTAATCAGAAGTACCTTTAATATTACCCTGGTACATCCTAGCTTTAAAAAGAGCAGATTTTGAGCATCTCCTGAGGAAAAACTGTTTCAGAGTTTTGTTTGTTATGCAGGCCACCTGGGATAATTTGCTTCTGTAATCTTGGGGCATTTTCTTTGAACTGCAAGACTATTGCCTACTTTCTTAAAAAGCTTTCTGTTTGGAATCAGGCTGATTTAGAAGCATGCTACATGCAAATTTACTGTTTGCCCTTCTCATAAATACTTCCTACACATCTAGACTTGGATGACAAACTCCTCATAGCTAAGATTATTCCTTTTAGGATGCTCAACAAGCTTCTAGTACAGAGAGACCGTTGTTGCAAGGAAATATTTGTGGTCAGTTGCGATAACATTTTCAGAGGGGCCCTACTACTAATATTTCATGGTGTTTACTGCAGGATTGTATTTTTAAAAGAGAGAAGTTATTTTTAAAAAAGCTGCGTGCATGACATTAAATAGAATGATAGTTTCAGCAGGTGTACTGCCATCAGGGCAGAAGTCTGCTCATCGCTTCCAGATTTTGAGCACTTAGGAATGTTGTGTAATAAGCTTATTAAGCTATCATTGACAGTCCTTTGATCTCTTGTCTCAATTTAATTTAGAAGTGCTGATTGTTCACTGTACATAGTTAAATGTTATGAAAAGCTAATCTTATTTTTTGCTTTATAAAAGGGCTGCTGGAGTGATATAGTAGGAAGACGGTATTCCCTGCTTGCTTGTATTCTTCTCAGTGCACTAGGTTACTTCCTTCTTGGAACGTCCACCACTGTGTTCCTGTTTGCCATTTCTAGAGTCCCTGTAGGTGAGTAAACACTTGGCACTTTGCAGTTTAAATTCCCTGTAGTCTCAGCTTGAGAATTACTACTGGGGATACCGTGGCATGTGAAGCATCATCATCCAGCAGCACCAACTGAACCCTAGTAATGGAAAAATCTCTGTGAATCAAATATTCCCATGACTTTTTTCTGAAAATAATTTGAAATGAATACCCAAAAACTGTCACAACTTTTATGCCACCTTGAGTGGTTGAATTTTATGAGAATAGGAGCAGTGATTTCTTGAAAGAGGCTGTTGTAAGGTTAGTCATAACAGGTACACGATACACCAGATCACTGCTGGAAATCTTGGCCTGCACTTGCAATGCAGAATGGAATGGTATGTGCATTATTGTTTTTTCTCATGCTGAAAATATACCTGAAACTGATACTGCAAAATTTGGCTGAAATTTTAGGTTGCTTCTTCAACAGAGTATTTATCTTATGCAAAAGCATGTACATTTGCAGCACTGAAGCTAAGTTTGTGCCAGGGTTCATATCAGAGTTCTTATAATAGCTGAACAGCTTTCACATATATTCTGTTATAATAAGCATTGCTGTTACTGTGAACACATCTACTAAAGGGCATTTTTATGGCCTATAGTCTTGATTTAGGAACCGTTCATATTGTTTCTTAATTTAAAGACAATTTGTTAATGAATTATTTGGTCAATATTTGATTACTTAGCAGAGGTAATACTTTTTAATGCTAACAGCACTGTGACTGTGACAACATTGCCCTAGTCAGAGGGAAGGAGCATAAAAGATTGCATTATTAATATTCCTGCAGCACGCTTACCCTTCTGTGCTCTCCTTTTGCCACCCACCAGTGTCTCATGTGAATTTGGTATGTTACAATCCTGGAAATCTCCATGCTCATCAAAGTTGGTACAGAGTAATGTTCCTAAACAGACAGGCCGTTCCTACTGCACTATTACCCACCCACGATTTCCTATTTTAGCAGCTATTTTATTCCTAGTGTGCTCCAGCACTCAGCTGAGTTACTACTTCTTTCACCAGGGCTGCAGGAGCACTCCTTCAACACAGATGCATGAAAAATTTTGATTCCTAAGTCCAAATCCTTGAACAGCCAGGATGATGGTCATGGCCCAGCATGCTGCATGACTCTAGCATTGAGGAATTTGTGGTTTATGGAATCTTAAAAATAGATTTTGAACATGGATATTACAGATAGCTTCTGTCATTTTACATCCTTTGTACTGAGCAATACATGTTTATTATCTTGTTTATGTTATGTTGCAGGTATTTTCAAACACACACTCTCCATCTCTAAAGCTCTGCTTTCTGACTTGGTTTCTGAGAGAGACCGCCCCTTAGTAATGGGGCGCTTCAATGCAGCTTCTAGCGTGGGCTTCATTCTGGGGCCTGTCGTTGGTGGCTACCTTACCGAGTTGGAAGGTGGCTTTTATCAAACATCTTTCATCTGTGCCTCTATCTTCGTTCTGAATGCTGGTAAGTTGTATGTCATATTTTGCATCTTGGGTCCCTTCATTCGTCACTTTTGTGCTTTTATGCCATTTGTAATACCTTGAATCCATGTGTGCGTATCATCTGTGGCATACATGTTTTGTATACTGATACTAGCCTTTGAATTTGAACCCATGTGGAAGGGCAGTAATTTTGAAACAGTTAACCTCCAGATGCTTCTCCTTCATGCTGTATGTATCACTGTTGCATTCAGACACAGGAATGGGAATTTTTCACATGCCCAAAGATGAAGACTAGAAATCAGAATTTTGGCTTTAGCCTTTAGATTTGTTTATATGTTGCAAATGCATCACCACAGTGTGTTCCTTCCTTACTTTCACCACATTTAAAATTGAACTGATACTGTGAATAACACTAGACTTAATCTTTGTAATTTTTTGAAAGTGAAACGATTGTTAAAGTCCTTTTTTGAATTTTGATCTTTATGCTAAGTAAACTCTAACAATCAGACTAATGTCTTCCACTTAAAGTTAATGCAGTTGAATGAAATCAACTAATTTCTTGATCTGTATAGGTCTTGTCTGGATGTTACCCTGGAGTGAAGGAAGCACTGGCAATAGAGAACATCAACAAGGCAACAAAGGAACAGACACTTGCTCAGAAAAAGCAAATCGTGACCTCCACTTGAAATCAGCAACTAATGGAGCTATGGCAAGCGATAGTCTTTTCCGGTCTTCGTGGATCCAAGTTGCAACAGTGCTGAAGAGGATTAAAGGAATTGCGTGCTCTGATCTGTGGGATATATTTTTAGTGCGGTTGCTGATGTCAGTTGCTATACTGCTGTACTATAGTAACTTTAGTCTGGCCTTGGAGGAGAGATTTGGGATGAAACCCTTGTTCGCTGGATACCTAATGAGCTATAGCAGTGCGCTTGGAGTCCTGGCTGGTTGTCTGCTTGGACCAATAACGAGACTCTATCAGCACAACACTTACAGAATTCTGTTGCACTCCAGCACTCTTACCTGCACGTTGATTCTCCTGTATGCATCAGCACCGAGCATATGGATGGTCATTTTGTCTTCCACATTCTTAGCCTTTTCAACTACTATAGGTCGTACTTGTATCATTGATCTTGAATTGACCATTGGTGGGAATGAGGCCAGCGGTACGCTCCTAGGCGTTGGACAGTCTGTGACATCAGTGGGACGTATAATTGCCCCGCTCCTTTCTGGAATTGCTCAGGAGTTCAGTCCTTGTGGCCCTCCGAGTCTAGGCGTTGGACTAGCTTTAGTAGCTATTCTGATCATGAATGCAAACAAACAAAAATACTGTAGCCATGGAAATGTTAAGTTAAAAAATCAATAGCTGCAAATTTGGATTGCATATCTTACAGGAGAGGCAAAGCACCTCAACCTGGCGTGATGCTTACACCTGCCAGACTTGTACAGTAGTAACAATGCTGCAGGGATGTTAACTCTAGAGAGACGTTGTTCTAACTGGTACCACTAGAATACTTGTGAGAGGGACAGGTGTTGCTGTATTGTACTGGCTGGGATTTTTTTACGGATTTTTAACCTTTTTGGAGGGGGAAAAAAAAGTGATACGAAATACACAAATCCTGCTTGTAGCTCACATTTGAAGTGGTGTTTGATAGATTGCTAAAAGACAGAAATTAATTCTTATTATTTAATCAGAGGTGAATTTTTATTATTTAATCGGAAGGAGAACTTGCAATATAGCTCATCAGCCTAAATTTCTTAGGCTGTGGTCTGCTGCCATTTGTCTGCTGTGACAGTAGCTTAATTAACAGAGTGTTTGCTTATGTGATTTTGTTAAGCATACTTTGTCTACAAAACTTGCTGAACAGCATGATTAGGCACCTTGGGGTAGCCATCCGACCCCTGCTGATTCCTGGTCTTTCCCAGGTAACAGAACCGGGTATATGCTAACTTCGTGTATTAGAAGGCCTAAAATGGATAATTATAGAATAAGACGGGGTCATTCAGACTTGAAACTGAGACTGAATGTAAGCTTTATTGAAACTTGATCTGGTGGTTTCTGTTTAGTAGTAACTTCTCCTGAGCAACTTTGTCATAAATTATATTAATATTTCCTGTGCAGTTTTTTCTAACTTCATTTTAAGAATAAATTTGCTTCTTAATTCTTTTGAATGACTGCAAAGGTGTGCTGGAGCAACTAGCAGTAGTTCACAGATCTGAATTAATGCATTCTCTCGTCTCTGGAGGCATAAGTGACATTTCAGTGATGAGAAAAGCTCTTGTCTTGGTATTTTAGTCTTCATTTGCCTGCGCTACTTAACTAATGAGAGGTTACTCTCAGAGCTATACTGAGAGTTGTAGCACTCTCCTCTGCTATTTACTGTTCAAGCTCATATTACTTGCCAGTCACCACTGTTTGCATTTCATTTGAAACGTACAAAAAAATGTATTTTGCACTGATAAAGTTCCATATGCTTTTCCTAGTATTACTGGATGAAAGTACACAGTCACCTATGTATAATAATTGGGTTTGGTTTTTTTTTTTTTATTAAAAACAATTTAGTTACCTCCTTGAACACACCCATGTGGTGTTGCTGCTTTAGGAGAATCCCAGATGGTGTTTTGCATTTCTTTTTCTCCTTTACTTTTTCCAGTGCCTGCTATCATGTAAGTCCTTGTTGAAACCTTAGTGATTCCAGTGGCAGCACCATGGGGATACATATAGAACTCTGAGTTGTTTTAATTTTATGTATTGACATAATGAGTGTGTGTCTTACTCCTTCTGTGATTTCACTACCTATCGTCAGAGTTCATACTGTAATTATCTGAGTTTAATTTGTCTCTAGAAACTTGAGGGGTTTTCAAGTGTCTTATCTCCTCTTGTCTTGCTTGGTAGATGCCCCAAAACATTCATGTCCTAAGTTTCCTATTTGCTTTCTTTCCATCTTTTAAAGATTATTTTTAGGTTTTTTACCTAAAACCACCCTTCTGTAAGTCAGGGACTTCTGTTTTGCAACTGTAGCAAGAGGTGAAGGAAAAAAAAGTAGGGAAAAAAAACCTCAAAAAATAATATACATGAAAATTTTAGTAGTTATACTTGTTGGTTATATGAGGTAACAGATAACATTTACCCTTCTAAGTTGCTGCACTGATTGAAGCTGGATTCTGTCAACACCATAAAATTCAGTTTATATTAACGTATACAGCTGCCTGAATATTGCTTTTCTGCTTATAAAAACATCAAAACTTCACTGTTTTTGTTTATACATAAGTGAAAAATGTGCTTTCCACAATCAGCAAATACTCCTTGTTTATTTTGAAAAAAAAATGAAATTAAATCATTGAATTGAGAAATCTGTGGACAGCTGCGGTCTCAGGGACATGTTGCAACTGATGTTACAGAAGAAAAGTTTTTTTACTTGTAGGCCACAATGATTTCTGAAGTGCTGCAGAAACACTTCTTCTTTGTAAAGGCTGTTACAGAAAAGTTGCCCTATTTTTTTGGTTTTGTTTTTTTCTTTTCTTTTAAGGAATAGAAATAAAATGTGTGACATTCCACATCTATCATTTCATTGCTGTGTTTTTCCCCTCTGTAGCTGAAACTATAGCACAAAATAGAGGTGTTCAAGTCAATACGAAGTACAGATGTTTTATCTTTTTCTTCAAGCTGTTCCTTACAATGATCATTTGAATCTGCTTGCTTTTCACATAAAAGGCACAGGACCCAAGGGTTCAACCAAGAAGTGGCTTGACAGTGAATGAAAAAGAAGAAATAAAAGAAAAAAGAGAACTTACCAGTTTAGAGATGGAGTGCCTAAAGGTACTGTTTCTAGTGCCTGGGGGCCGTGTTTGGATCCCCTGTGTTGTCTCTCAGTTGCCATAACCATGCAAGTTCAGGGAGTGATGAGTAAATGACATCCCTGGAGATGAGGAGATGCGACTCCCCCTTTTAAGTTGAGGGAGGAGCAGTTGCAGCTATTTTTGGCTTCAGTCTAGTGGACTTTACTGAATTACTCAGCAGTTTCTTGAATCCAATTGTGGTATCTGAAGACTGTAACAAAACAGATCTGAATATGGACTAAAGAAAAATTTCTACCTGCAAATTAAGATTTGTCTCTTGCTTGCTGTTACTTTAGTTTTGGGTTGGTTTTCTTGGGCTTGTAGGCACAGTTTGGTTTTGGGTTGTTGGGGGTTTTTTTGCTTTTTACCTTTTGAAATTTTCACTTTTTTAACAGTGACTGCTTTTCTGACTGTTACGATCAGCTGATGTTGAAGAGGCTGTGTATACAGTATAGTAATTTATTTCCATAAAACAGCTGGTAGCATACAATGTGCACTGATTTTATTGCTTTTAAATGATGAAGTGAATGTAAGATTTATTCCCTGTTGGTGTATGCTGCATACATTTGAAGAGATCCTTTATAAACATACCTGTTCCGCAGATTTCAGCTTCTCGTCCTGTTTTCTTTTCTCTGAATTTACTCACCACAGCACCATCACAGGGGTCGGTACCATTCTCTTTTTTTTTCTGAGAACAGGTTGATTATGGAGCAGATGAGGCGGCAACAGAAGAGGACAAGCGTTGCTTACTAACTGGCTCGCTCGTTACTTCAAGCACTCTGTAATGCCATTGCATTCTAGCTGATGGGAACCTCTGTGGGTATGTTCAGGTGCTGCCAGCCCCCATTTGGTTATGGGTGCTGTGGAGTACCCCTGGGTAAATGATGTTTTATAGCCTGATGCTTGGGGATTTGAAAACCCAAGACCTGACTGTGCTGTTACTGCTATAATTTTGAAGACCCGTTCATGAAGAGCTTCATCATGAATCTTGGGAGTATATTGTAGCCCAAACCCTGAGAATCAAATGATTGTGAGTGGAGCTCAGACTTCTTTCTCATAAAAAAGAAAGTTTTTAGAGCTTGTTTTAAAGGGAAGCTTTGAAAAACTTCTGTACTAATTTACAAGGAGAAATGAAGCCAAATATCTAGTTATTTTTAATCCTATATTAGCATCAAAGGACTATTTTTGAGAGGTGCTGCACAGTAGGAACTGCTCTTCCATTCTGTCAAATTTGTAATAAATAGGAGGTCTTAGATATAAAAATAAATTAAGTAAACTGGGATATTCAAAATGCCTTTTCCTTTTTATGGCGAAAAATACTTTTTGAAACAAAACCTGTGGCAATTAGGGTGCTGGCGTAACTCAAAAGTCATAAATGTAAACCTGAGCACATTTCAGATCATGAAACAGCGAGACCAGAGCAGCCAGCGTAGCTACTACTTTCCCTCCTGCAACCTTAGTCCCTCACATTCTGTCAAATCTCACAGGGTGAACAGGCTTCCAAAGCACCGCAGTGCTGTACGGGAACCACATCAGTGTTTGCCTACTTGGGAGAGGAATGTTGCTAACCCCGTCTCCCATCATGTCATCCTATTAGATCTGTCTACCACCTGCAAGAATTCCTCTTCCAATGGAGAAGATTCTCAAGTGGCTCAGCACAATATCCAAGAGGGACAATTTTCAGCCCCAACATTGAATAACTCCAAAATGCTAAGGTTCCTTCAAATGTTCAGAGAATTAAGCTGCCATGCATTTTTTTTTTTTTTCTTTTTCAGTAGCTCCCCATTTAGCTGGCCATCTAATAAACAGGCCAAGAGGGAGACAAAACCCTTTCACTTGAACATTTAAGAGCTTCCCCATGGTAGTTCACACAGCTGAGGGTTTCAAGGGCAGGGGCAGGTTTACCCAGAAAGTACAAGTTACATCATGATCTGCTAAAATGAGAGGTAAAAAAGGACTGTTATTCCTCCCATCTCTCCCAGATTTAAACAGCAGCTGAATCAGGCGCCTTAGGTAGTCCATGACTTCTCTCTTCACTGTGCCCTAAAGCAGTTTCTCCTGGTCCATTTTGTTTCCTGGGCTGACCCTCCAATCTATCGTTGGCCTGGCTGGGGCTGCGTATTGCAGGTGCCACGTTTTGAGCATATTCACAGGCTTATTTTTATAGGATCAAAGCTGTTAGTACAAACCCTATTCCTCCAGCCAATTTCAAAATCCTTCAGCTTTTCTGCAGGAGCTGGGAGATGTTGGCAGAACTTAGACAATTTTGGAAACAGTGACCAGCTGAAGCATTTCTTGCAGTGTCAGCCTTAAAATGTTGCTGGTGTCTGGAATTGGTGGACCTCTTGGAAAAGGTTGTGCAGGGTGCAGTGTGCTTGCTCCCAGAGACCCCAAGGTAGGCTTTGTAACAGCACGCGTGTTAGTGTGGCCACATTTTTAACTTTGTTTGTCCATGTGATTTCTACGCAGCTTCAATGGAGAAGGACATTCTCAAGTTTCTAAATTGTAACAAAGCATGGTTTTCTTTTGTTAAGTGCCTGTGGTTGCAGTGGAGCTTGCATTGTACTTTAGTACCAGGTAGGCCAGCCCTTAAAATTTTGTCTCTCATGGCAATTTATTCTCTTTTTCAAATACCTGCTTCAACCAGATAACCGGATGTCTATCTACTCTCTAGCCCTTGCTATACCTACTTTCTTATACTATTTACTTTTGATTTATAGGCCTCTCAGCAGCTGGAGGGGGAAAGAAATTCTCGGGAAACCCTACTTCAGAGTATCACATACCTATTTTCCTACTGTCCCTAAAACTGGACAAGTGGGCGTTGTGCTGCCTCACCAGGGCAGTAGAATTGCAATACCACAGAGTGTACTGGGGAGACCATCTGCAAACAGAACATTTGTATGCGGATTTGGCAAGTTTCCCAGTCACTTCTGAAGATGCGGTTTCCTGAAAAAGTGAAAAACATGTCCCCAGTCAATACATGACTTTCCCCATCAGATGGTGCTCGAGGACAGATTTATTGGGCATTTCGTTCTCCAGCAGACAAACTCTCTTTGATACAACATTAAGGAAAAGTCTCCTCTGCAAGCCAGAGTTAGATGGGCCTTGTAGAAAGGTCAAAAAGTGCTATTGAACTTGTTTTTCCTTCGCAGGCAAAGAGAAAAAAAGATAGGGAAAGGCAAACCTCTGACCCAAACCAGAGAGAGTTGAATGAGAAGGGCAACCTGGGACACAGCCTGTGTCACCCGCTGCTGTTATTGCTGCAGAACAGCAGAACAAGCAGTGTGGTTCGCAGAGGTGATAAGGGTCTGAAGGAAAAGAGCCTGAAAAGGGCAGGAGGAGCAGGAGTGGGGAAGGGAGGGAGCACTTGCAAGGAGAAAGAGTCCCAGGAGATTTGTGATTGTGCTTCACAGCGTAACCATGCTGGAGCTCTGCCTTGATGCTTGTCTTCCGTGGATCTCAAAGTGCTTTGGAAAGGTAACAATGTGCGAGCATGTTTTGAAGCACCAAGACCTTAAGACCATATTTCATAAAAACAACCTCCAATTTGATGCACTTGTACTACGGGGCACCCAGTTTAAGTACCAATGATCTGCGCATGCACTGTACTAATGGACAGCCAGCAGAGCAGTAGGGTTCCTGAAACCTGCATTCATTATTTAAAATTGTGCCAAAAAAATGACAATTATTTAAAAAAAAATAAAAAAGGCAGCTTTCCCCAGATATAAGCCAATCGCTTGGTCATTACCAGCACATGGAAGAGAAAGCTCCACAGGGAGTAAACTAAATGTTGATGTGCAACATTCACATTTATTTGTTTGTTTGGTCAGATTTCAGATGGGCCTGATATAGACCACCTAATCTAAACAGTCTGATCTGCAAGGAGGATGTGTGTTCAAAACTGAAATCCAAACTTGAGGCTTCTTTCTTATTCAAACATGAGCCCAATAATGCAGTGGCAGAGTACTCGCTGACAATTTTACTGATGAAAGATATTTTCCTGTTCAAAGACAAATTCAAATTTGTTTTTAAAGCTTGCTGGCTTTGTTTGAACCCAGTTTTATTTCCAAACAGGAGATAATCATTGAAGGATAGCTAAGTATTGCCTTCTACACAAATAATTTGTTGAGAATAGCCATGAACGTTTGACTGAGATGTCTAGGGTTCACATAGCCATCCCTCTGCAGCTTAGACTTTACGTTTGACATACAGCAGAAACCACCACAGCTGGAACGGAGAAAAAAAAGACTAAAACACCTGTGCCAACAAAAGAGTCCAGGAAGGTTTGACATTTCAAATACACACCTGAAATAAATATTTTGGAAAAGCTGTTAGAAGGAAAGACTTAAATCCCCATTCATAAAACTGTTTTACCAACCCCACTCCCAAACCTTTGAAAGAAATCTACCCTGTCATTTTAGAAGGAAATTCTGATTTTTAATAGTTCTTTCAAAACATGCTTAAATAAAAAAAAAATGAATCTTATTGCCCACAGATTTAGAAATGTGCTAATGAAAAAGAAAAGTTATGATTTCACAGTGCAAATTCTTCAATCAAAGTTATCAATCTTGTAACAAATAGAATGAAAATGATTTCTGCATTGTGTTGAAATGTGTATCTGTGCTAAAGCAAGCTCAAAACTTAAGACAGATTAAGTGGGACAGAAAGTGCAAATTCCTGAGAGCTACAGTTAAGTATCATTTATTTTAATGCCCCCTCCCTTCCCATATGCACTCAAATGGCAGCCTTGTCCGCTAGGATGAAGAAGTCCATGCTTCTCAGGGGTGTTATTAAGGTGCACAGTGACTTCAACTGATTCCAGGGCCCCGCTGTGCTACTTTTCTGTACAAATTAGATGGAACGTTTTCGTTCCTTGGAGTGCATAGCTCAGGCAAAGAAAAGATTATCTTTCCCGTTTACAGACGAGGAAACAAAAAGTAAAAGAAGTTGATCAGGATCACAAGCATGAGTGAACGAGCTTTCTTGAGTCTCAGTGGTCCCCGACTCAAACAGGAGACTGCTCGCTTTGTCTACGTGCAGCGCTCTGCAACTATTCTACTGCTGTGTTTGCACTGCAACTGAGAAACTAAGGTGCAAAAAGCAATTGTGAATAAGAATGTGATTTATCCGCTTGGTGTTTTCTCTTTTTAGGGCTTCTGGTGTCCTGCTAAGTGCTCTCAGCTCTCGTTGACATTAGTGAAAGTCAAGGTCATTCAGATTTCCCTTGGCGATCCTCAGTACCTTTCAAAGGTTACATATTGCCAAAAATTCAGAAAGTTAAAATTCAAGCTATTCAGGTCTTGTCTCTGTTGCAACTCCTCCCTATAAACTATATTTGCAGTTCTGCTTCTACAGCTTGTTCCTTCTCCTTCCTCCTTTTCTGCATCACAGCTCTTCAAACAAACTGGGCTTCAGGAATATATTTATTCTTCTTACAAAGTCTGTATGATAGGTGCATTGTGCAATTTTCAGTGTTACTCATATTAAAGCTCTGGTTAAAACAAGTATTATTTGATTATAAATAAAATCTGAAATGATACAGAATTTTTTTAAGAATCCATTCATAACCGGACTTTCAACAACGATTTTCAATGGATAACTGGGTATTGAACCTACATGACTTGGTTCCACAAGAGATGATGTGATAAGGCACATTTCCATCCTATCTTAATAGTGGAAATAATGTAATTAAAGCATTGCCATAAGTTATTTATAAAAGAGATTTTTTTTTTTTTTATGTCTTCAGCTTTGCAATTGCTCCAGTATTCCTTTCACTTGGCTAATGGCATGGACTTTATCCAAGTGGAAGTGGTTAGATCCACATTGAGGCTTGGGGTTTTTTTTAATGGATCCCACAGTCTGATCAGATAGTTTAGAATCCTAACTGGATACATCCATGGTTTATTACCAATAGTTCTCTTTTTGCTATGTTCAATACGGCTGGTTCTCAGGCTTATTCCTCTGCCTTTCCCCTTGTGATGCCTGCCTAACTAACCGTGGTGGTGGCACGGGTCTTGCCGACCCATGGTCTGCAGTCAAATCTTCCCTGCTCAAAGTGCCAAATCTTGGTCTCGTCAGCAGTGGCTGCCTGAACCCTATGGATGGCTGAGGCAAGGCACTTGGCTCCTGCTGCTCTCCTCGGCCGTCTTGGCTCCCGTCAACTTCATTCTTCCACTCCACCCTAAACTCAGGCAGTGGCCTCTGCTGTCTCAGTCTCTGGTCTCTCAAGATTTTCCCCGCTCGGGGTCTTAGATTGAGCACTGTCGTAGCTGCATCCATCTCAGAGTCACTGCTGTCACCCACTGTTAATTGAAAACAAAATAAAAATTTTAGATACAGAATACTACCGTTTCAGGAATATTCAAATAACAGCACACTGAGCACTAGCAGCCAAAGGAGAAAGTTTCCCTGTGTTTCCTAAATTCAGTGCTTTCTGATTAGACCCAGTAATAGACACTGAACTCTGTCAGGACAGAGGATACATTTGACTTACAAACATCCCTCCCCTCAAAACTGTGATCTTTAGAAAGCCCTCACTCAGCTGCTCCTTAATCACCAAGTTCCCCCTGTTTGAGTTGTCATTTCCCCAGTTCTGGATCTGGACATGGAAAAACCTGTCTCTGAGCTACTTGGGGTCTAGTCCCTGCTTACATCCAAGCAGGATAGAGACATGAGATTTCTCACCCTTACATCCCATGAAATCTAATCTGAGAGGCATTTCCAGAGCACAGCATGTACAGGGACTCTAGAAACTTGACTTTGGAAAAGGAGCATCAGTAGTCCGCCAAGCAAAGGATCTCCCAAGGTCAATGTACAGGTGGGAGGAAACATCCCACCCTTAATATGCCCGAATGTAAGATCTCAAAGAAAATCTACATCAGAAATGTCACAGGCTGCAAGTGCTGCAGACTCCTTCACCCCATCACAGCAGGGCAGAAAATGGTCAAGGGAAAGCTGGCATAATCATTCAGGGAATACTCTTAAATGATTTCTGCCAGGTAAACCAAGCTGGAAACATTCTGGATGCGTACATGTGCATATATTTTCCCCAGCAGACTTCTTTTAAATTGACTAACATCTTCATCAAAACTTGCACACTTCAGTCACTTGATAATCATTTTAACAATCATTTATGAATGCCTCAGATTTGTTCCTAGACTTCAGCCAGACATGATGTTTTAAATATATCAAAGCAAAGAATCGTACAACTGTCAGAAGAACAACTTACATTAGTAGCCTACATGTTATTACTTTTAAAAAGGTGAGAAGGGGGTCAACAAAATGTATCACCACATAATTGTCCATTCACGCAGATAACTATATATCAAGGAAGGTCTTCATCAGACTGTGTTTGCAGGCTTTTCCCCCCTAAATATGTCAAACAATATATTTTTTGACAATTGAATAATCTGGAGGCATATTTCCTCTTTAATTCTGGGTGACAGTAGGTGACCTCTGCAGACATAACTACAGAATAAAAGACATGCTACATTCAGGAGAGCAAAGATGTAATTATTAACATACAAAAACATGGTCTATTGCTAAATTAATTTGGAAGAGTAGGAAACTAATTGGGGTGGGGATCGAGACATTTTAGTGATTGTGCAGAGATTTAATCTTCCCAGCAAGTGGTCTTGATGGTTGCTTTTCATGAAAGGGAATGCTCCTGAGCATGGTATAAGCATGGTAATGCAACCAGTAATAATCAAAAGCTATATACAGAACTCAGCAAAATTTTCACATCAAATGGTTGTTTTCCTCCAGATTTTATTTTTGTTTTGTTAGAATTCAGGAACTCCAATATAAAATATCTGTGAGTTTAGGCAGGAAAAAAAAAATCGACATTTTGGTTGTGAACCACAGCATTTTGAGTTCTTCATGAGAACTATAAACCAGACCTCATGTCCTCATTCTCCTCTCTGGTTTGGTTCTCAGAGCAGTGTCCTCTACCCTGACCCCAGTGAGAAAAGAAAGCAAATAGGTTCATAATCCAAGAGGGAAATCTGGACATTTTGGAACACAGACAAGAAGAATGAGCCAAGGCAGTGTTTCTGGTGCAGAGGTGTTTCAGGCTCCTGCTTGCTTGCATAAGGAGATAGCATTTGAACTGAGAAAGCCCCACAAAACTCTGCTTGCTGGCGCATTTCTCTGCACTCAAATGCCTGCTTTAGGACCCATCACTTTTAACGCTCTAAGACCACTGCTAAATATCTAACACCTAGAAATATGCTATGAAGGTATTAACTCTAGAATGAAAGCTCATGCACATAAACCATTTAATATTTATTTGAAAATTAATATGCTGATTTCTCTATGTCGTCCCTGGAACAACTTTCCTTCTACACAGGCAAAACAACAGCAGCACAGTAAGAGACAGCAGCAAATTTTTCATTACCTCTGGAAGACGTTTTATTTCTCACTCGTAGTTTCTCTGGGAGTTTAGTGTTTTTAGGAAGTGAAAGGAACCTTTTTGTATTTGCGGAAGCCTGCGTGCAAAGAAATATAAGAAATGTTAAGTTACAGCATGCAGACTGAAGTACCTTCATAACATGTTAAGATACACAACTGAGGCTTGAACGGGTTTATGCAGCTGAAGGGCTGGAGAGTAGTTTGGGATTAGCTAATACGTGATCTTTTACTACACGTTCAAGTTAACGCTGATTGCTGGTTGAGGTCTGTGCTAACTAAGGTAAAAGCTGAGCAATCTCAAGCAGCTTAATCAAAGGAAAGCCTAGTGATATGCCCTCTGAGATCAAAGTTAATAAATGTATGCTCTTTACCTGTACAGGTTTTCCTAAGGAAGGCAAAAGCTGCAAGCGTGGCATCACTTCATGTGACTCCAGTTTGAAACTTTTTATTAGTCAGCTGCAAAAATTAGGTTGAGCCTGAAGCTCAGGCACAAGGACTAATCTGTATTCTGATCCTGCAAGGGCTTTATACATATAAATGACTTTATACAGTTGACTAGTCACACTGAAGTCGATGGGGAAGTTAGGCTTCAGTGTGATCATTTACCAGTTCAGGGCATAAAATCTTTGTTTTCCCAGGACTAAACGTTGAAGGCCCTGGGTACAGAGCACACCTCACAGTTCCTGGAACATGAAGCACACTTTCCAGAACAGGTTGCTTGTTTGTTTTTTTTAGATTCAAAAGCTTCTCAAGAGCATCCTTTCTTACATTTGTTACATAAAACCTTTACAGTCAACCAGCTCTCCCCTGCTTGTACCATTCATTGCTGCACACTCAAAGGGAACCTGAAAGGAAATTTATTTTCCATGAGGCATTTTTCCTCTTTGGATGTTGTAGTGCTGCTCAGGACCACTATGCTTCCCTCTGTGGTGGTTTCATCCAAGGATAATTATTTTTGAAATTACAGCCTGTGAGTTCTAAAAAGCTGTCAGGCACCCTGTTTCTCTCCTTGCCCCCAAAATGTCTCAGTCCTGCTGAGTCTCTTCGTTATTCCACCTAGTAAATACTTTATTTGCATGACCAAGACAACATATGTAACTGTGGCTGAGAGGGGAAAAAACATCATTCAGCAACAGATTTATTGTCACAAGTAACACCACAGTAGCCCTGATAATGATCACTAATGAGACACAGCACTTATTGGAGACATCATTCCAGCCTCAGCTGCTGAAGGACAACCGTATCAATGAAGACAACAGTCACCAAGTATTCCTGTAACATGAAAATACATATTTATAGGATGGTTAATTTCCCTGTTACCTAGAATGGGAAGATGATTTGGGGCATCAGCTTCCCTGCTGAATAAGTGTGCTCCACTCAGATACGGTCTGAAGTTTACAGTGAAGGTGTCACAGGATTGCCTCAGAAAGCCAAATACTATCATGCCGCAGCATTTCTTGTGGGTAGAGGGGGCTTTCCTATTTGGCGTCAAAACCTGAAGTCCTGACTACGTTTTATGAACACTAAAGAGCCCACAACATTTTTCAAATTAAGAGCTCGCTCTAATTGACTCAATTAAGAGTTCTCTTCCCCTTATTTTGGAGTATACTCTAAGTAGCTTGTCCATCTCAAAGTCATTTTTGACCTTGATCATCCACGCTTCATCAAAATACTGATAAAGAAGACTGACCATCCTTTAGAAGTACACTGTGTACAGAGCCTGTTCAGCTCCTCTGAGATAAAATTGTGGCAGCAGATCCCACTCCCATATCACGTTCTACAAGACCGAAGCTTTGCTGAAGGGGTCAACACAAATTAAGGGGCCCCATGTGTGCAACTTAAGGTCTAAGTGTGGCATTATATGTCCAGTTGTCTTCCAAATTCAGGATTTATTTTTTCTTCATTTCAGAAGACTTTTTTTCTGCATGACATTTAGCTACAAAGATTTGCTTTCTATAAAACATCCAAAAGGCAAGTACCGGTCTTTCTCTTGACAGGCTGTTTGTTTTCCTCAGGCTCTCCCTAAGGCTGTGCCGGCGACGGATCAGTATTTCTTTGGCCTGCTTTTCATTTGCATCTGCAGCCAGGCTATGTCGGTTATATGACATTGTCTGAAATATAAAAGCAGTGGTCACATTCTGAAAAGCATAATGTCAGATGTGTCGAACTATACACACAGCGCAAAACAGGTTTTTTGCTTTAATGTTTTAATAAGCATCATCAATCCTTGTGAAAAAAAATCATATTGCAGATGATTAAGAACAAGAACAGTAATTATGCCAGCATTTTTTGAGTCATCTGCTTCACAAGCACCTGGGTTTTTTGGTTTTGTTTGGTTTTTTTTTAACCTGCTGATATTTATAATAGAAAAGAAATTGAAAAAAGCTGGCTTACTACAGTGTTTACCCCCACATTTTACTAGCTCAGTCAATATGTCAATGGAAGATGCACATTTGAAAGGGATAAGATGAGTCACCTAGGGGGAAGTCATTTTTATCTCCAGCAAGCTGAAGCTAGCTCCACTTTTGAATGTTTTCCAAGGGCTCAGGCATTCAAACTACTTAGCCACAGGAGGGTAAATGTGAAATGTCCTTTTGCTTTTATTTCACTATTTTTCCAGCTCATCACCCCTGCTCTTAACACAAACAACTTCACAACTGGAGGCAAATGGGAAATCTAATCCCATATCACGAAGTGAACAAAACACTGATATAAGTGGGACAATTGAATTTGCACCTATGATCCTTTTAAAGTAATGTAAGTATATTGCAGATAATAAAAACCCAAACCCATTAATCTTTATCCATAGGATCAAGTAAGCTATTTACATAAAGCAGTATGAATATGTTGCTGTACATGTGATAGGAAATGGACTCATAGGCAATAGAAGTGAGTAACAGCATTAATTATTATTATAATGCTGTGATACAGTATAGCGCAAAGATCTGTTAGGACGGTAATCAGTATATTTAAATAGCAGTGGGATATTTAAGTATGCAAAACTTCATCCTTACTCGATGTCGTATTTGGTAGAGATTCTTTGTTAATATTTCTCGCATGTTTTCCATTTCAGTGGGAGAAAGTGGCTTTATTTTTCCTTCGTGATATTCACTGTGGCAGAATAAAAAAAGGAAAGTAGAGGAAAGAGAGAGAGAGGAGGAATGTTTTTATTTTTATGGTTGGGAATTACATTTGAGCTATTTCCTTTGTTAGAGTTGGAAACAACATTGCAAAACAACTGAGGAACAGGTAAAAATGTAACATGTAGGAACAAAACCTTGATCTCATTTGAGTCAGTGGTGAGGCTCAAAACTCAGCCTCCAAAATTTGATATAAATTACATTAAATTGTAAATTTGATTAAGGTACTTTTCAAAATGCCCCTTGGGCTTCTCCCATAGCTACTTGCAGCTGATGTGCAGGCACGGGTTCAAGTCCAGCTCCGCTCTACGTGGCAAATCAAAGTTCCCATGAGCAGCTGCCCTTGTAAAACCACACGCTCGGGACGAGCACAGCCCATCGAGCGCTTCATGTGTGAGCCGCAAGTGAAACGCTCCTGTTTCATATACACTTACTGTTCAGATGACATTTGGACACAGCGTCCTCAGTCAAATTGATTATCCTGCCTCCAGACTGGGCTGTGAAATAAATGACATGACCCAGCCGAAATGCTTGGCCACGCTGGCATCGCTTGCTTACCTGAGAGACACCGACGATGGGACCTTGCTTATCATGCCGCTCTCCGCCATCTCAATGGCATGTTTGATTTCCAGCTTCTTGTATAAAGAAACAATGCTGGATTTGGGCTGGTTCTCCCGGATTAGAAGCCTTCGCAGGTACTTATTGTCAAACTTTTTAAACCTGTACATGAGGCAAACCAACCCAACCAGTTAATTTTTACTGCGCATAGTTAAGGAAAGCCAATATACTGTAACTAACGCAGTTGTGAAGGAGACACATGCCCTGGGAATGTGTCTGTTCATATTAATAACCTACTGCTGAGTAACATAATAAAGGGTCAAGTTCATCTTTGCTTCAGATAGACAGACTTAACCTGTGTTTTGGTTATAATACATTAATGGACAGTCTCCCTAGCAGCAACTTTTAACTTTTAAGTATTCTGTGTTATTAGACAATATTATTTTTAATTCTCCATTTTCATCGAGACAGAGAGAACATTAAATATTTACTGTAATAACAAATAAAAGATCTAAATTTGCACCGGCTGCTTTTTCTTTGAAATTTTAGCCTGCTTTTGTAAAACTTTGGAAGTTCTCCCTTCCTCTAAAGCAACTGCAACCCTATTGGATGCTTAGTGAAAAAATATTGATTACAGCTGGGGTGATTTTGTTTGTCAGAGAATATTTTGCCCTCTGGCCGTTCTGAAATTATTCTTGAATTTGGGTCAAAAATGTTTCTGAAGGTCATGAAGAGGTGGGACTCTCCTTTGCTCCATAATCTGTTAATTAAAGATCTCACACAGACTGGAGGAGAACCGGGCTGAGTAAAGGGAAAGTTGTACCCATGTCATGCAGTCAGGAGAGAGTCCTCACCGTCATGCCCTCAAGTCATTTGGAGAGGGCTCTTCTCAGCCCTTCCTGCTGGTGCTACTCCTCTTTGTAGAAAACACTCAAATTCTTGTTGGAGCAGTGACTAGAAGGTGGGTGAGCAATGCCCACACTTTGGGTCTAAAGGATTTGAGTGTAAAAGAGCGTGCTTCTGAGAAAAGTGAGTTAGATCCCCATCAGTGATGACGATGATGATGATGATTCAGCAGCTAAACTGAAAGCATGAGTTATTCAGGTATTGCCAGCGGTAATCTTCTGAACTGACACTCAGTCTTAAATAATACCCTCAAGAACTGTGGAGCTGCCTGCCATTAGGATCTCTCATGCACTTCATGCCAAGCTAGTGCCTTGATCTTTCTAGAGAAAGTCCCAACGCTTTTGTATGTTTCCCATGAAAGAGGGAACTAACCCCTCACTTACCACCACAGAAATGTACAATTTGCAGGAGGAAAGCCGTATGGGATGAAAGGCTCGGCAGGCCTAGAGGAAATGCTCCAAAACACTCAGGAAGAGGGATAGGACACACACCCTCAGAAGGTACAATCCTTCACCCTGGGATCAGAGGGCTGCCTGTCTTCCCAGCTAGAGATTTTGTTCCACTTGCTTGTGGTTTAGGAAAAACACATTGTTTTGCCGCTTTCCCTTTGTAACCCACACGTTCTAAAAACAACCATCCCCTTTCAAGAATAAAAAGCTGGAAATGAAATCTGATGCCCAACAGCCTTTGGTCGCTGCTGCTGAGCCAGTTTAGCCTCTCCCGTGTAACAAAAGTTTTAAACGACATTCTTACTTATCTCTCCAAAAGTTGTGACCCCAGTGTCCACACACATCTTCAATTCCAGTCTTCACGTGGTCGAAGAACTAAAGGGGAAATGATTGTTCATTACGTAAACTTATAGACATCACTTGACTTGCCCTTAGATATTAACAGTTTCTAACTTATTCACAACAGAAAAGTCTGGTCAGAATTCAGGACAATGCTTGAGTTTAACTAAATGCAGGTCTAACCAAACTCAGGAGCCAGACTTTGTTTTGTTCCTCTGGAGCTTCCTTAGGTCACAGCCCCAAAAGGACAGATAACTTTCTCAACATCGATCTTGCTCATCTCCTGATTGAATCTGGAGGTAATCCCAGATTTTCATTTCTTCTAAATTCCCTGACCACTTAGGGCTCTGCCTGGGACTTCCCCAATGACTCCCCCAGGCCTTACAGTGAACCAGGTATGACTCTGAGGAGAAGAGAGCCTGAGCGGGCAGCAGCCCCTTGCGTCAGCACTGGCCCCTCGGGATGCACAGGACAGAGCTGAGATACCCAGTGTCAGGTCCTGAGCTCCTATTTTAGGGGACTGTGAGCTAGATTCACCTCAAAGCGCCCTGAGCACCTAATATTAGCAACCCACTCTTCCTCAGTCTATTATGAATTACGGAAGAGTGAATCAGTTCAGCTAAGATCTCACTTGATCCCCAGAGGCAGCTCGTAATTCAAGTACCATAGTAGGGATCTCTCAAATTCAGAGGGAAATCCTGGTAGATATGTCCAAAGGATAAGCTCTAAAAGGATGGACTTTTAGATGCCTAGATTGACTTCTTTGCTAAATGTGGCTCTTATTATTCCTCATTTTAAGAATTTCAAACCACCTGCCAGAGGTATGCTGCAAGGAGAAATACATTCAAGAATATGTATGGCTATTAAATGCAGTAATTGGAGACATACACCCACCAAATACAAATTCATAAAGAGGCTGATGATGTGAGAGTTAAGTAAGTTTAAGAGTGTGTTTAGGAGTTGCAGCATTTGTTTAAGTAGACAGACTCAAATGCAATGTAATGTCATTAAATTGCCAAAGCTTTCCAAATGCAGCCAAGTTCTAAAATAACACATAGCTCATATGTGAAACAAACTACAGAAAGATAATCTACCTCAGGAGATGAACAATTAAGAAAGTGAAGATTCCAAAATAATTGTATGTAATAATGATAATTTTGATAAATAGCAAAGGTGAAATACAAACTTTATCACTATTGTGCTTATAACAGCTATCAAAAAGATATCTAGAAGAGCGTGTGTCTCTCTGTGATACTGTACACTGAATCCTTGAAAGCCACTAGGAATTCCATCTATATGAGGATTTCATCTATGACACTGAAGCTGCAACATACCCTGTTATAAATTTCTTCACTGACAGCAGGCTGCTTTTTATTTGACCTTTTGACATCAAGAAACTCCACCAGTGGGCGAATTGTTATTCCCTGTGAAGAAAAAAATAATTAAAAAAAAAAAAGGCAAATAGTTCTGGGTTTTTTTCCATAAAAGTAACAAAAAACTGAAGCCTTTTGGTCTTTCTCATCTCTGTCAGAGCACTGAAAATGGCTGTGGATACCTTTTTAGCTCTGGATACTCTTTCACTTTCCTAATCCCAAAGCCCAGCCTGACACAATAATTATAACAGTGAATTCACTCTTGGGATTAGCAGATGTTGCACTTGGCTACGAAGTCCCCATCAGCACACAGAGTCCACTAACGCAACAGAAGGAAGGAAGGGTCTCTCTGGAGCTAAGAGGTCCAAGAGGGGCAATCGATCAAAACCCATCAGGAATACATCAATTACCCTATCCATAGTATTTTCAAACTTTTTTCCCCATTTCTGTTATGTATTAGAAAAATCCTCACTTGTTTTCTGAATTAATAAACAGATCCCCAGACATTCCAAAGCAGACATATAAAGTCCTTTTTTTTTAGTGATTACTTCCAAAACAGGTACTCAAAGATGTGTCAACAGTAGCACTAAAATTGCTATTCAAGACCTGTGATACTAAAACTTCTTGTAAATATGTGTCCTTGCCTGACTATTCTCAGAGAACGAACAAAAAGTTTTGGCTATCCCAGAATGATATCATGGTTTTGAACAATTATTTGTGGAAGAATTGACATAATTAGTTTATTTGTATAGGTGCACTGGCACGGGGGAGAGGAATGAATCTTTCATGGTGTTGAGATCAGTCCCTACTATCCCAGACAACCAGGTCACATATTTCTTTTTGTAAATGAACCAAGCTTTATCTTAAAAGTAGTTAGGTTTCTTTGCCCCATTGCTCATACTGGAACACTCATCCTGAACCTCATTGTTCTGATAATTAGAAAGCTGCTTCTTAATTGCATCATGGTCACTTTGTACCACTTTGTTCTTGTGCCAACATTTGTCTTTTTAGTTTAAACAGTGTTCCTCCTTCTCTGGTGTTCACTCCCTCATATAAACAGTAATTATATTCCCTCTTCTCCTTCCTTTTGCTAAGGCCAAGGCATCCTGCTCTCCTTTCACATGACAAGCTTACCAGTCCCATGATCACTCTAGAACATGACGCTATTCTCTGATGGAAATACCTGCCTCAGTATGTCGTAAGATCAGATTTGCCTTTCTTCTGTCCCCACTGCTTTGGTGGCTTAAACTCTTACCCCGTTATCAACCAGTACACCTGTGTCTTTTTCCCTTTCTGTTTTTTTTCCAAACGAAAGTTTCCCATTTCATAAGAGAAATCCCTAGTAAGAAAGTCCTAGCAAGAACACGCTTGCACTTATTACTGTTAAATTTAATTTTGTTTCTATCACATTGGCCCTCAGTCATTCTCTTCTTTCTACATGACACCCCATCTCGCTGTCATGCTGCAAACACCTTCCAAAGCCTGTCATCAAGAAATATCAGCAACAAAAAAATACATTTATGTGCCATGGTCCATAATGAGAATATTAAACAAAACCCTCCCTGGGAACCCTCCTTGAGGAATTCCATTAATAACATCTCGTCAGCCTATTATCTGACCAGCGTTGTAAAACACTGGAGCAGGTGCCCAGAGAGGCTGGGGAATCTCCATCCATACTGATACTCAGAACTCAACTTGACATGGCCCTGAGCAACATGATCTAGCTTTGAAGGTGGCCTTGCTTTGGGTGTGGGCTTGAACTAAAGACGCCCAGAGGTCCTTTCTGACCCAAAGGACCATATGCTTCTATTTTCCTTTATAGGAGAAACTGTCAGCTCCTTCCTCATTCACTTTACAATCATCCTAATGTCAATCTAAACCTCAGTTTAATAAGTAGTTAAGCTAACAACCTCCTATGTAGCCCCCTCCCCCAAAGATTTACAATGGTCCAGTTAGATGAGATTACTCTAGAAAATAAATTGCCTTATCAAAGAATGATACCAGCTTTCCTTTTGGTAAACCATGTTGCAATTCGTAACATGTTCCACTTACCTCCATATTTTAAATTATTCTATCCTTCAAAATCATTTGTCACAGCTTACATGCTAAGGTCAACCAACCAACCTCCAGCTGCTCCAGCCACTCCCCTTGCCCAAGCATGAGCACAGATACTTGCTACTCCTCACGGCACCTTTACCCATGTAAAAGGCAGGCTAAAAAATGTATTTCTTTCCCCCAGACCTGAAACTACATGTCCTAGCCTCTCACATCTCTCTCACTGCTCTGGATAAGGACTAGCCTGACATGTTTATTTGAGGGGCTTAGCCTCCTCTACGTTTTGCTGGTTTCAGTCACTTCCTTCCCTCCTGGTCACTCTTGACCAGGTCTCCATGGCCAGGTTGACACCAGAGACACGTTCTTAATGTTTTTCCGTGCACCTGGTGCTTTTGGGTGCATGTCCAGCTGGTTTGCAGCACCACTGCCTAACACCCAGGCTCACACACTCCAGTCCACCCCTCAGTGCCCTCAGTGTCTTCCATCCCCTGCTCACAGAGCACCATATCCAACACCGAACTCCTGAGTAAATGCACTACTTTAAATATTCTAACAAGAAATTAGTGCTGGGGCTGTAGCCAGATTATCTTTTATCTCTACTCCAACCTCAGTAGGTCTTAAATGCTTAATACTACTTATATGTCTAGCGTAAGTACTTAATATCCAGCATACTTTTGCTAACTGTCTGCAGTCTGCATAGCTTTTTTTTTTTAAACTCTGATCACGGAGAGTAGCTTCAAGTATGTTCCTTCCAGTAAGTTAGGACATTTGTTTTTCTACCCACTTCTTATTTGCAACCTCTCCGAGAAAGAAGTCCAGAAGAGGAAAGGCATTACCTGAATGAAAACAGTGAAGAATATCACCACAATAACAGCAGTGATGAACAATTTCTTCCTGGGGAACACAGCGGGAGGAAGCAGAAATACAAGTGAAAAACAAATAGCTCCTCGGAGGCCTCCATAGGCGATAATAAATTGGTCCTTAAAAGTGAGAGGAATTGTCCGGAACACATTAATGATTTGAGTCAGAACAAAAACACCTGAGGAAAAAAAAACAGAAATACGGGGAGGAGGGAAAAAAGGGGAGATTAAAATTACACAGAAATCCCCCACAATGCTAGTATTTGTTTTAAAACACTTTTATTTGCCTCTTACCTATATATTATTGAAGAAATGAAATGTTACTTAGCTGCTTGAAAATGGAAGAAAACTTTAAAATGCCTCAGGAGCATCATCTTAAACATATTTAGTGAGCTAACTACTTCAGGTCAGCTGGATTTAGGACCCACATCAGCGAATTCATCTCCACAAGACAGCTATCTGCTAGACTCTGCACCTCTAGAACAGCAATAATTCTCTGCATCAGTATAGACCAAGACTCCTAATTTTTTTTTTTTTTAATAGGTTTTGAGGTGCTTTTGAACACTTTGGCTTGTCACCTCCATCAGTCTGTGCTTTGAATCCTGCAAACTCCTATTCACTCGCTTAATTTTACTTGCACAGACAGGAAGGGTACAGGACTGGGGACGGAGGGGGAAGATGCCCGTACATGCTGGTGTGCCGAAGGCAAAGGGATCAGGGATATGGCGGACTGAGGTAAAGGCAGAAAGGCAGGTGAAGGGAGCAAGCACGGGGGCCAGGAGCTGGGGGGCAGTCAGGCTGCTTGGCTGCTTTTCAGCACAAGGTATTAATTGTGGGGCTGCAGGAGCATGAGGGGCTATTCACTTGCTTAATTTTACTTGCACAGACAGGAAGGGTGCAGGACTGGGGACGGGGGGGAAGATGCCCATACATGCTGGTGTGCCGAAGGAAAAGGGTCCAGGGATGTCATGGACTGGAGTAAAGGCAGAATGGCAGGTGAAGGGCGCAAGCACGGGGGCCAGGAGCTGGGGGGCAGTCAGGCTGCTTGGCTGCTTTTCAGCACAAGGTATTAACTGTGGGGCTGCAGGAGCAGGATGGAAAATAATCCAGGTTTCTGGCCTGGAGGGAGACTTGGAAGCTGGA